TGTGCAAAAACAAAACAAAACAAGGTAGCTGATCAATTTCAAGTCATATCTAAAACCTTTGCCATCACTAATATAAGCAAAATTGATAGACAGATATCATGAAGACACGATGGATAATGAAAGAATGAAGAGAGATCCTGAAATCATGAGACTGGCAGTCACAGAATCATAATTTGGAGCTAGAAGGAACCTTACCTTGCAGCCATCTAATCAATCCAACCCCCTGATTTTATTGACAAGAAAAATGAATCTTAGGGATTAGATAACTTATGCAGGTTCACAACGGTAGCTGACAGCAGACCCTGTCCCTTAATTCCAAATTCAGCATTGTTTCCATTGCACCAAACTGCTGATACATGACTGTGAGCTACAGCTATATTACTAAGTTCCGCATTCAGCTTTTTCCATCCCTGTTTTGTACACAGGATGAAACCTTTCACTTTGATATAAAACTGTCCACTCTAAGCAAGGAAGTCTCTATCTCCTGCCTAGAGTACTACTGTCAAATGTATTTATGTATTTAAATGTGTTTAAAGATCTCAAAAAAGGAATTCATAGGCCATAATTCTAGAAACTAAGAATAGTACACTTACATTCTAGAGTCTGACTAATCAAACTAATTTAATTACTTTTGCAACTCATGGCTTTGAGGTAATTGTCTTCCCTAGGCATTGTGTAAAATCTACTAGAATACTGTTACTAATCCCATGAATTGCCAAAGGCACAGAGGTAAGAGAAAAAACACTTGACTCATGGTCAACTTCTGTTTGCCCTCTGAGTGATGCTGGCAAAGAACTTCAAGCCTCTTCTTTTGGGGTTTGATCATAGTTTTAGTATTTTTATTTTGGTTTTAGCCCAGAGGAAAATACAATGGATTTGTGGGTTGAGTTTTTTTTCTTAATTATAAACAAGTGAATAAGAATCACAGAATTTTAGAGTTGGAAGGGGTAATAAAGGCTAGCTCAATCTATACCTGAAAGATTTCCCACTATAATAATCAATCAATAAACATTTATTAAGCACCTACTATGTTCCAGGAATTGTACTAAGCACTGGGGATACAAAAAGAGGCAAAAGGTAGTCTCTGCACTCAATGAACTTACAATTTAATTGGGGACACAACACGCAAACAAGTATATACAAATCAAGCTACATTCAGGATAATGAAGAAGTAATTAGCAGAGGGAATAATAATCTAATATATGATTGTCAAGTCTCTGCTACAAGACCTCTAATGCAAGGGAACTCTACGTCTTGAGGCAGCGTATTCTACCTTTGTCCATTGCTAATAGTAAGGAAGTTTTTCTTGACATCAATCTAAATTCCCATTTTTTGCAATTTCTACCCATGATTCCTGGTTCTGGAGTCAAACAGAGCAAGTCTCGGGGCAGCTAGTGGATAGAGCACCGGCCCTGGAGGTAGGAGGACCCAACTTCAAATCTGGCCTCAGACACTTGACACACTACCTGTGTGACCCTGGGCAAGTCACTTAACCCCACTGCCTAGCCAAAAACAAATAAACAGAGTAAGTCTAATCCCTCTGCCACAGGATAGTACTTCAAATACCTGAGAACAGCTATCATGTCTTTAAATATTTCCAGTTCCTTCAAATGATACTCATGTTACATGGCCTTAAGGCCCTTCAGATGCTTAGAACTGAACACAATACTCTAGATGTGTAGCCTGACCTGAGTACCATGGGACCTCATCTCTTCATCCTTGGAAACACACTTCTCAGTCTTTTTCGATTTGTTGTTCAGTAGTGTCTGACTTTGGGGTTTTCTTGGCAGATGTACTGCAATAGTTTGCCATTTCCTTCTTTAGCTCATTTTACAGATGAGGGAACTGAGGCAAATAGGGTTAAGCGACTTACCTAGGGTCAAACAGCTAGGAAGTGTTTGAGGTTGGATTTGAATTCATGAAGATGAGTCTTCTTGATTCCAGGACAGGCACTCTACCCACTTCACCATCTAGCTGCCCATTTTTTGGCTGCCACATCACCATGCTGACTCATATTAAGCTTTTCAGACTGAAACTCTCAGAACTTTTTCAAACATTTGTGAAATTGTTTTTTTGGACTCAAGGGTAAAACTTCACATGTGTCCCTCCTGAGTTGTATAGCATTTAGTTTAGCCCAATGCTCTAAGCTGTCAAGGACCTTCTCCAAGCCTGACTCATTCAATGAAATAACCATCTCTCCCAGGTATATGTCATCAGCAAATTTAATACACCTTGATTCAAGTCACTGATAAAAACTGCAGTAGACATAGAGCTAAAAAATGGCAGCCTGGTGAACAATGGGTGAGAGAAGTATGTTCTGGTGGGTTTTGGCAAAGGATGACCGTGATACAGTAATAAGGCGTGAGGAGCCCATCTTGGAGCACAACCTTCAACTCCTGAGATGATACTTAATGAAGCAAAGATAGGTAGATACCCCCTTTCTTCCCATTACCATTACTCTTATATACTCTTATGGGCATTGTGTATGGTTGCTCTCAGGAAAATTTGGGTCTCTTTTCCGTGGTTTTCTCTTGGGGCTCCCCACTAATGCAGAGGTAGAAAAATGTGCCAAGAAAACAGTTTTGATTTTCACAAAATTCTGCTGGGGCCTACTCAACAGCCTGGTTCTGGAGCAGCATGTCAATCACTTGCTTCTGTTTTGGTGAACCACATCAAAATCTTCTATTCTAATGTCACACTGGGATTTGGAGGTGACTCTGGGTTCTCAAAGCATTGCCAGCACAAAGAATCCAGGTCCAGCAGTAGACTGTATAACTATTATTTCAGAACCAGACTAGGTAAAAGGCTCATCATCAGAAGCTTGGCTACCAGGTGATGGATTTTATTGGCCACAGATGCCTACTAAGGCAGTCACAGATTACAATCTACATCCCGAAAGTATTAAATATTAAAGCAGGTGAATTTCATTAACTTTGGACTGGTCTAGCCCAGGCTTCCCCTTGAAGTGGATAGAACACTACGGTAATTATAATAGCTAACCTTTATAAAGTTCTTCAAAGTTTGCAAAGTAAATTTTTTACCTATATTTTACATATATTATCTCCTTTCATCCTTATAGCAATCCTTATAGCAATACTCTCATTTTACAGATGAAGAAACTCAGGCTAAGAAACACTAAGTGACTTGCCCACCTTCTAACAGGAAGTAACCACCTGAGGCAAGATTCAAACTTAAGTTTTTCCCAAGTTCAACACTCTATCCACTGTATCATCTACCTCTCTAGATGGGGTTGTATTTCTATCAGTAAGGGTGTAGTGGAACTGGTATGAATAGGAGACTGATCAGGAGCTAAACTCTGAGCCAAGAGGTTCAGACTGTTGTTGTACAAAATTAATAGGGATCAGGTACAGGGAAAAGGACAGCTTGATCTGCAACTCCCAAGGTTAACCCATAATCCTGAAACGTAACTTCAGACTATAAGATGGAAAGCACTGGCAACACCAGCGCCACTTGTCCAGATGTTGCCAGGAATAGGCGTGGCAAGAATAATATCAGCAAGAGTTAATTTTTAGGAGAGGAAGGGACTGAATTGACGGGGTCTGTCTAGAATTCCACCAGCCTTAGAGTTGAATGGCCATATTCTTTGATGTTTTTACAATGAACTGGATGTTTCTAGTCAGTGCTATGTCTACAATGCTTCCTTTTCCTAGTGTTTAAGTAATACCAAGATGTTTTATCTAACTAACTAAAAGTTTAGAGGTGGACCATAAGCAACAAAAATAAATTTAGAAGTCTGCTAACAGCCCCAAGTAACTTTGCACAATCCAGATTTATGTAAAGGTTTGAAAGTCAGTAACTTTTTTTTTTAATGTGACAGTAATTAAAACTCTGAAAGTGAAAACGGTTACTTACTTTGGAGGAGATCAAACTTTAAGCAGGACAGAGAGACAGAGTACAGTAGAAAACAGGTTTGAAGACTACTGTATGTCATTTTCTCTAATTCTACTCCTCTTCCAGCCCTTGAACGGAAAACTATTTCCACTCTTAGATGCTCTGAAAGCTGATCTAGGTCTGTGGCTGAAGCACTTAAGGGAATTTCAATCTCAGATAAAGGTTAAATGTTTCCCAATTGAGGACAGGATTATCCAACAGAAAGGGAATAAAAACATTTTTTTTAAATGCACTTTCCTCTCATTTTACATTACTGGGGGTGGGGAGAGAGGAGAGGAAAGCAGGTATCTGAACGGACGCATGAATAACTTCTTTAAGTTTGTTTGAATAGAAGGTTCTCTAGAATGGACATGACCTCTGGAGGTTTCTTCACTAGTTTGACCCTCTATTCTCTGGTAGCCAGTGTTATTTACAAGTCACCCCTGAGTAGATCATGTACCTACATACCCGGAGGGATCTAGACTCTGTTTAATTAGTGCTTCAAGTGAAAATAAAAAAAATTTTTTAACCTATGCCCAATGCTTCTCCAAAACCCCAAGCTGTGTACCTGCTAACCGTTTACAAAACTAAAAAAATTTAAAACTCAACTTAACAGAGACCCTACCCCAACATTAAGGTTGGGCCGGGGTGGGGGGAAGTGACTGCGGCCAAAGGAAGGGAGCAGAGGTTACAGAAAAGACTCTCTCCCTCGAGCAGGACACACACCTCGGAGCGGAGCGAGCCCGCTGCTCTGCAGCAGGCAGGGGTGGGTCGGCTGCGCTCCCAAGTGCGGATGGGCGCTGCAGCTCCATCCCTGCCTCTGCTCGCACTGCACTGAGCGCATCTTCCGCAGGGGTGGGCGCTATGGACCACTCAGGCTACCGGGGAAAGGGTGACAGCATCACCCAGAGAAGCATCAGCTACCGAAGAAGATACTGGGGAAGGGAGATGCGGAGAAGGGGAGAGAGAGGGCAGCATCCCTAGGTGGCCCGGGGCCAACACAAACCAAATGGTTTAAACACTCCCCCCCTCCCGAAGCTTTGATCGCTGTCAATCCCACCCCACCCGCGGGAAAGCCGCCGGGGAGCACCGCGTTCCCTGGTCCGTACCTCGTCTCTTTGCCCTCACGATGCCTTTCTTCTGCAGCACGAAAGTGGATCCGTTCACCAGGCTGGAAACCACCGCCACGCTCAAGCCGAGAGACACCGCGGCGGGGCTGGGGCTGTGCGCCCCTTCCCCTGCGGCTGCGGCTGCAGTCATCATCCTCCTCCCCCAGCAGAGCCCGAGCTTCCTCCCTACTTGCTCCCGAGAGCTGCCCGGGCTCCCGCGCCTGCGCACTCCGCTGGGATCACGTAAGAGCCTGGATGGCTCAATTTTGCTTCTGCTCCGGGTTTTAGCAGCGACTGCGAGGGGAGGGAATTAAGCAGGAAGAAAAGCAAAACTTTGGGTTCAACGCAAGGGTAGAAAAGGGAGGGGATGAGGGTAGCAAAGAGAGAAAGTCGCGCTAGCACCTGTTTTGTATTTTTCCAGGATGCAAGTAATGTCCACTAATTAATATTTATGGATAAAAAAATAACAGCTAGCTAAAGATTAAATAATTAAATAAAAAATTAAATTAAAAAAATTAAATAATCGCTAAAGATTTGCAAAGGATTGTACCTAATTATTTCTTCCAATCCTCATAATAACCCTGGGAGGCAGTGCTATTATTATCCCCATTTTACAGATGAGGAAATTGAGGCTAAGATAGGTTAAATGATGTCCAGGGTTACAGCTAACAAGTGACAGACACAATTTAGATCTTCCTGACTCCTAGTCCAGCACTTGTCACTTCTAGTTCACAATCTAAAGAAAAAAGAAGATAGATAAACGAGAACCAATGTCGTAAATAACAGACTTTAATGGAGAGAGGTTAGGGTTTTGTTTCCTCTAATAAAACTTAGGTTAAAGCCAAGCTTTAGGGAAATGTTCAGAGAAAATGTGGAAATTAAGATGTGTTTTTGAAGAAGGGGAGAATTGTAATTTGACTTACCCAGATAGGGAAACTTTTCCAGGGGCAGAGAAAAGATGACTCACATTTGTACAGTGCTTTTAATGCTTTGTCTCCTGAGGAGAAAGTGAGGCTGGTGACTTTGCATAGCCCTCCCTCAGTTAAATCCAATTCACTTGCATGTTCTACCATCACCTCCCTGATGTCACGGTCAACAAAGGACAAAAAACAATCAAAAATATTTCAAGATGGGTAGTAAAATTGTTATTATCCCTATTTCACAGATGAAGAAACTGAGACTCAGTGACTTTCCTATGGCCGTACAGTCAGTGTAACCATAAATTCAGAGCTCTTGCCATGTGCACTCCAGTGGCTGGATTATCATGAATGACAGGACACAGAAGAGTAGATGCAGAGGCACTTTCTTTTTGAAAGATAAGGTAAGAGATTAAGTGGAAAAGTGACAGGGACAATTTCTGAAGCCTACAATGAAGAGTTTAAGTGGGATGCAGATGATAATAGAGAAGCCGTTAGGTAATTCTAAAAAGTAATATGACTTAATTCCTCAAGAAAGATCATTTTGGCAGTGATGTTGCAGACTAATTGGGAGGTCAGGAAAAGAATGACCAATTAGGACAAAGCTATACTATGCCTAATTAAAGTATCTTTCTGTTTCTGTTTTTAAGTATCACAAAGGAAATGATTGAGGCAGTAGAAAGGACCTGATTAGGACCCGATGACTGTGCAGTACAAATCAACAAGCATTTGTTAAGTACTTATGTGCTGGGTCCCTGTGCTAGGAGTTGGGAGAAAGATAAAAGACAGTCGCTGCTTTCAAGAAGCTTAAAATCTAGCGGAGAAAGATAACATACAAACAACTAGGTACAAACAAGATATATGCAGGATTCATTGGAGATGGTCACAGGTGGGAGGTACTGCTGTTAAGGGAGAAGTAGCAAAGGCTTCTTGCAGAAATGGGATTTTAGCTGACGCTTGAAGGAAGCCAGGGGAGCCGGGAGTCAGAGGCAGGAAGGGAGAGCATTCCAAACATGGAGGACAGTCAGTGAAAGTACATAGGAGTTGGGAGAGGGAGGGTCTCAGGTGAGGAATAATAAGGAGGCCAGTCGAAATAAGAAATACAGGAAATGGGGTACAGAAGGCTATCCCACCCTACAGGAAAACAGAAGGGGAAAGGGGATAAGAGAAGGGAGGGGGAGAGATAGAAGAGAGGGCAGACTAGGGGAAGGGGTATTCAGAATGCATGCCATCTTTGGGTGGGGGGAGGGGTGAGATGGGATGAAAATTTGGAACTCAAAATGTTGTGAAAGTAAATGTTGAAAATTAAAAATAAATAAATTTATATTAAAAAGAAAATAAGGAGGCCAGTCACTGGGTCACAAAGTTAAAGGGAGGAAGGTATAAGAAGCTGAAAGGGCAGAAGGAGGCCAAATTTTGAAGTGCTTTTAAAGAGGTTTTTATATTTGTTCCTGGAGCCCACAGGGAGCCACTTTGAATGTTGAATGACATGGTTAGACTGAAGTTCAACCACTGGAAACCCAGAGTTGATGGATGTAAATAAGAGGTCTTGTTTTGCATGGTAGCTAATAAACAAATGGCTACCTCACTATCTAGGGAGGTCTTATTTGCTATGAGGTGAAGAGCCCTATAAGATTTTAAATTGTTTGTTGTTGTTGTTGTTTCATTTTCAGTTGTATTCAACTCCTCCTGACCTCTTTTAGGGTTTTCTTGGCAAAGATACTGGAGTGGTTTGTCATTTCCTCCTCCAGCACATTTTACGGATGAAGAACTGAGTCAAACAGGGTCCAGTGATTTGCCCAGGGTAACAGCTAAGAAGTGTTTGAGGCCAGATCTGAACTCAGGAAGGTGAATCTATTCACAGGGCCACCTACCTGCCCAAATTATTGGGTTCAAGTAATTAGCCTCTGAGGTCTTCTCTAATCTATTCCCATGTCATCAAGTGCTAGAGATATTATTCTAGAGATATTATTCAAGTGGATAATGTATTGGGTTGTAAATTATGCCAATGTTTACCTTATTCCTTCTACTTTTATGCTATGTAGATTTTATGGATTTATAATCTTGTCAATGTAAATACTTCCTCCAACAGAACAGATAACAACCTATCCATTCCTCTTTCCCTAGTGGTTGACTAGAATATGTAAATGTTATAGGAATAGCTTTTCTGATCATCCTATGAAACAAGTTTTCTTGGAATAGTCAAATATTCAGTTTGGCCAATGGGGAGATCCCACTCAAACATTCCCCTCCCTCCAACAGGCCAGGGAACTCACTCAACTGATTAACCAGCATTACCCTAATAAGGATATTTTACAAGCACTGCTTAAACTTTGTCAAGGGGGAAAAGTATAAAGTTTGAAAGGGCCAACTGGTTTTATCATGACATACAGGAAAACTGTAAGAGTTAATTCACCTCTATAACATGCCAAGGAACACTGGTTAGAATATAGTCAGTGGCCTGTATTGTGCCTGGCCTTACAATTCAACTGCTGAAAGTGATTATGTCTTCAGAGACAGGTGAACTCCTGGAATCTTAGACAGCTAGTATTAGCTCAAGACTGTCTGAAAGAGACCACTGGTCCAAACACACCTTACAGTGCTACCTGATAAATATCCTTCCCACTTCATGTGGGCAATATATCTATTTTGTTTAAGCTACCTTTGTCTATACCTGTCCATCAACAATAGGCAACTGTATATATTTGTACACATACATATGTACATACATATCTGATATACGTACATATATACATATGTATAGTATGAAGTGGTGGAGAATGATCAAAAGACTTTCCCCCCACCATCATTGATAAAATTATAGATGGTAAGTAGCACAGTTGACAGAAACAATAAAGTGTTAATTCAACAAAACGCAAAGAAATGTCTATACTTTGTAAGATATGAAGATTTTTGGTCAAATCTGGTGGAATTAAAGGGAGATTTGCCATTGGCCACAGTCCTGGTGGCCTTTTAAAAAAAAGTGATACATGCACTCTCTTGCAAGGATTCTCAACTTTTTTTTAATGTGTCTCATATCCCTTTGGCAGTCTGGCGAATCCTATGAACCTCTTCTCAGAAAGTTTTAAAATGCATCAATTAAAGTACATACCATTACAAAGGAAACTATTGACATATAATTGACGTATATTTATGGAAATTTAAAAAAAATTTCACAGACCCTAAGTTAAGTGAATAATCTAGGCAGGAAATAGTTATGAGAAATTTGAGGTGTAGTTGTAGAAAGGTGAATCATCTGTGGCCATTCAGAGCTGAAATTCAGAGAGGAACAAGCCTAGGGAACTCAGCTGAGAGAACTGCTTAGCAGAGATGCTATGCCCAGAGGAGCAGCATAAGAGCCTCAACAGAAGGGAAGGGCAATTGAGGCTTTGCAATGCCAGAGGCATGAGTTACCTGGGCCATGGATTTTCTATGTATGTGCCTCTGTGTTAGAACATTTATGTGTATGACAACTCTTCCCACTGATATTGTGTGTAGTAAAACTAGAATATATGCCAGGTTTATGGAGGAAGCACACCAGTGGGGGCTCATGAGCTATTGTTTTTAGAGTTCAGATATACAGAGTACCTTGAATATGGGAGAATTGCCCTCCTAGGAACCTAATCTTGTGATTTTAGTTAGGATAAGAACCTAGGTAAGGTTGATACATACATGCATATACATGTATATATTCTAACATTCATACATATATATGTGTATGTATGTATGTATGTATGTATGTATGTATGTATGTATGTATGTATGTGATGAAAAATGGCACATGTCCAGAGGACACATCATATGTGGGAGATATGTGAGCCTGCTCTCAGGGGAGTTATGATGTGTGATAGACATGCCTTAGAAGGATGTTAAAGTATGCATAGACAATCTGTGACTGTTCCAGTTGGCTATGTGATGAATAGTTGTCTGATTGTCTATAGAAGCATTAAGAAAGGACTAGTGATAGAAGCCACGGCCATTTTCTCTTAAGCTGCCCTCTTGGTGAATCTCTTGCACTCCTTTGCTGATGGCATTTGGTTAAAGACAATGCGGTTAGGGAAGTGGCCTTGGGCCCTCTCTGTGAGGGCCAAAAAATGGGCCTCTCTGTTCTCTTCCATTCTAAGTGAAGAGGTTAAAAGGCTCTGATCTTTGGGGTTTCAAATGGTTATGAGAATGAGATTCTGATATCGCAGCATCACAATATCCATGACTGGTAGCCAATTCAGATGCATTGATCCCTCATGGAGAAGGAGTGATCTTCAAGACCCACTTTAGTTTTAGTTCAAACAGGGACTCTGCTGGCAATAATGCTTACTTTGAACAGAAACTTAGTAGGACCAGTGTTAAATAGAGACTGAGCTAAGTTTGAGCCTATTCTCCAGAGACTGAGGTGGGAGACAGTAAAGTGTACCCCCTAAGGTGCTGGGAGAAGCTTTGTTTTGCTATTGTTACTGCCATATCTTTGAAGTAAATATTTCTATTTACAAAATCTAATTGGTGTTAAGCGATTTAATGGAACTGGACTGCAAATCACTGGTATCTAAAAGTAGGGGTTGAGCCAATGGCATTAGAAGAGAGATACTCCAAAGCCCCTCAGGGTACTCCTAGAAACTGGTTCTGGGATAGTACTCCAGAGCACATGATTCTCGAGGCTTTGAGGTTCAGCATCCTTGGCTGCCTCTGTCAGAGTCTAAGGGGAGCTGGTAGTTAAGGTATACACATATACATATATATATATATATATATATATATATATATATATATATATATATATATATATATATATATATATATATATACACACACACCCACTGTGTATGTGTGTATGTGTATATGCATATACACACATGCACACAATATACATACATACATACACATATTCATGCATACATACATATACCTACATACAAACAGCAAGGTACCCTGACAGGGCGACAGGAAGCAGCATGTGCTCCTGTGAGCAAACCACAACCTTGACCACCAGCTCCGCTTAGACTCTGATAGAGATGGCCAAGAATGGTGAACCCCAAAGCCTTGGGGATAGCAGTGTACCCCCGATCACTGGCCCTGCTTCCAACTTAACCCCAGCAGCCATCATGCTGGAGGAGGTGAAATCCATCAGCTGCTTCTGTAAGAGGTACAGTCCCTTCTACTTCAGCAACTACAGCTTCTAAAGACCCGGATAAAAAAGTTCTTGTACCCTTTAAAGCCCTTTGCATTATCAAAAGATTCTGTGTCTGAAATGATTTTATCAAAGTGACATAAGGAAAATACATTGCCACATGCTTTGCCATTGCAAAGAGCCATGGAGCGAATAGTTTGAGTTGCAGCTGAAAGTTCCCATATATGTTTTTTTTTTCCCTCTCGAAAGTTACTTTCTTGGGGGCAGCTAGTAGTGCAGTGG